CCAGAAGTAAAAGTGGGGGCTAATCCCCCCTCCCCCCCCCCAAGAAAATTTTGTTTTCTCTGGAAAAATTTAGATAAATAAGGAAAAATGTAGGTTATTTTTGGAAAATTTAGGTATAAGGGGAAAAATTTGGGATATTTTGTGTAAAAATCGAGTATGTCCGGAAAAAAATTTTGTTATAGGTCCGGAAAAATTTTTTTCATCCCTTTTCTTGTATATGTCCGGAAAAATTTTTCTACCCCTAAAATGGTACACTGACCGAAACTGTACTGTTTTCGGCTTCACTCTTTCATGCCGAGCATATCCTCCAGTAAGAGCATATCCTCCTTTCGATTCGGCTCTGCATCTCCTGGGTGTAAATATCCAAGCGGAATTAGTACCCTCGCACGGCATTTCGCGCCGTTGCTCGGGGATAATTTCAGAACATTAAATAATTTCAGAACATATCAGAACATTAAATAATTTCCGACCTGTTTCGAACGATGTTTTAAATAAATACGTTTTTACCCTTTTGTATTCATCTAAACCTAAACCTAATCTTAAACTAATCCTAAGCGTTTCATTAATGTTTAATACAAGGATTACAATAAAGCTAAGATTAGGGTTAGGGTTAGACCCCTTAACCCTAATCCTAATCCAAACCCAAAAAAGTTCGTGTGTCTAGGACAGGCAGTCGAAACGTTTAGTCAAACGTGACTGTAGCTAACCCGCGTTAGCTTTAATTCAAAATTCCCTCTAAATCATAGATTTGATACGTATATAACTCAACTCCTTTCTCTCCCGTCTCAATTCAGCGATACGCAATAAATTTCTTCGACAATAATTCCATATTAAATCTTTATACGAATAGTATAGCAATAGGAATAGGAATAGCTTTTCTATAATAAATACAGATATAAACAAGAAATTACTTATATATCTTATACATAACATAATATTAAAGTAACAACGAAAGTCCTTACCGACTGTATCAAACTAATTCACATCTTTAACAATCAATCTTTCGCTCACAATAAGTCACAGTTCAAATTCGTCGTCGCTTGCAGTCAAGAGCAAAATATCAATCCCAAAACACGCCCCCCAACCCAGCTTAATAGTTTTCTTAATTATGTAATAATTGTTAATATCTAATGGTAGCTACACCGGCCCCTAAATGAACGTTAAGATTCATTTACTACACAACTTAAATAGCTACCGTTATGATGATAGTTTACTTCCCTGCTAGTTCAAATGTTGTCCATCTCCAGACGACACAGCTTCGTGATCGGGCGTTCCAACATAGCAGTTGTTGTCTTCACTTCTCCTCGACGCTTCCGTTCCGCACGGGTCACTACTGTCGAACACGTCTTTATCTTGGCACTACGAACCATTCCATCATTTTCTTTCATCACTTCTACCACTCGAGCTAACGAACATTGCCCTCTCGGATAATTCTCATCGGCCAAAAGTACGACGTGATCGATCTTTAAATTATCCCGAAGTTCGTTCCATTTTTGTCGCCTTTGTAACGAAGGAAGGTACTCCTTGATTCATCTTTTCCAAAACATATTGGTTAGAAATTGTGCCTGTCTCCACTGACGCCGCGTATTCTTGTCATCGTTCCCAAACACGCCGGGTGGTAAAGAAGAACAAGGTCGTAGATGTAGAAGGTGATTTGGTGTCAGGGGGTCCGAATCTCTTGGGTCATCACTGTTTCTTGTAGGTGGTCTACAGTTGAGTATATTCGCAACTTCGGCAATGATTGTGGAAAGCACCTCGTCACAAACAATTTGCTCCTTCAACAACGCTCTTAAGATCTGACGCACGGACCTGATCATCCTTTCCCACGCTCCTCCCATATGGCTTTCTCCTGGGGGATTAAATACCCAATTAATACCTCTTTGTGTACAGAAATTCTCGATGTTTGAGTGGTTCCATTCGTCTATGCTGGCTTTTAATTCTTTGTCAGCTTTCTTAAAGTTGGTACCATTATCACTACGGATCTCTCGTGGACATCCCATTAAACTTACAAATCTTCTCAACGCGTTAAGCATTGAGTCCGTGTTGAGAGATTGTGCAATCTCAATATGCAACGCACGAGTGTTTAAGCACGTAAATATGCAACCATAACGTTTAACATGACATCTGCCTTGTTTTACTTCAATTGGACCGAAATAATCGACGCCAACCGACGTAAACGGTGGTTCATAAGCTGTCACTCTATCACGTGGCAAGTCTGCCATAAACTGCTCACATGTCGGCTTCTTCCTCTTTTGGCAATCCGCGCAGGAACGTATAACGCGTCTCGCAGCTGCTCTCCCCTTCAAGACCCAAAATTTCTCTCTAAGACCTGCTAGAACAGATTCTTGTCCCATGTGTCCAACTACTGTGCGATAATGTCTTATTATCAGGTCAGTCACATGATGCTTGTTTGGTAGAACCATTGGATGTTTTGCTTCTTCACTGATGTTCGCAAACTCAAGCCGTCCTCCTACAATTATCAATCCGTCTTGTAACGTTGGGTTGAGCTGGTATAGAGAGCTCCCAATGTTTTGCAGATTTCGCTTGATATGTCCGTTACCCGCTTTGGATCCTCCTTCTTGCAGCGCAGTGATGATATCAGGGAATGACGTGTGTTGTACGTAACGAACAACATTTCGCTCTGCTATCTTCAGCTCGTCAACTCTCAAATTCCCAACTTCCAATTCCGTCTTTCCTGCCACTCGAAACTCACTGTTTTTATTGGAAACCTTCATCATCAAATAATCTTTAAATCTCGATAGCCAAGCAAATGCTCTCACCAATCCCCACCATGTCGAGTATCTTTGAACTAAAGACTCCATGATTCTTTCACTAGTTGCGGTGGTGTAAACAGTTGCACCCTGTCTCACTTCAGGATCGTCGTCGCTTAAATTTGGTACTTCAACACTAGCGGGCCATTCATTTTCGCTCTTCCATAGAAACGTCGGACCCTTTAACCATCTTTCCTTTGCAGCAACGCATCCAACTTCAGCCCTCTAGAAGCATCATGCGCGGGATTCTCTTCACATTTAACATATTTCCATTCTGAGACGTTTGATCCGTTATGAATGATAGTAAGGCGATTGGACTCGAACGTATGGAAGCGCTTCGTTTCGTTTCTTATGCACTTCAGCAAACATCACACGATCAAGTCTTATGTCCAACTCTCTTTGTATCGTCTCTCGAAGCTGAACGGACACAACAGCCGCGGATAATTCTAAACGCGGAATTGTAATTTCGCGAATGGGTGCTACTCGAGCTCTTCCAAGAACAAAGGAACAATAAATGCGATCTCTATCGTCGACCAGCCTAAGATAAGCCACTGCTCCATACCCGTCTCGGCATCAGTCGGAAAAGAGATGCAGTTCCGCAGTCTGGATTTCACCGAAGCCATCGGGCTTGAAACACCGTCCTATTTTCACCTCCTTTAATTTCGATAAGTCGCCTAACCAACATAACCACTGTTTCTTTCCAGATTCATTAATTTCTTCATCCCATTCTAGTTTTCTGCGACATAATTTTTGGAGCAAAAGCTTTGCTTTCATAACATACGGTGCTATCATACCAAGTGGATCAAAAAGAGATGACACTACAGCTAAGACCCCACGTCTAGTCAACGCCTTTCGTTGTGCCAGAACTAAAGTTTCGCTGTCAAGCTCCCAAACGAACGCATCTTCTTCGACATTCCATTTCAGCACAAGAGCCTACTCTGTTGGTAAATCCTCTATGTCCAAGTTAACTACAGACTTCACTCGCTCGTACTCTGGTATTGTCGCTAAGACTTCGCGATTATTACTTAGCCACTTGGTTAATCTAAAGCCTCCCTTCTGCAATAGCTCTCGTAGTTGCTTAGCGAGAACAGTTGCTCTTTCTGCACCGTTCACAGATTTCATTAAGTCGTCGACATACATGTTTCTATCGATCGTCTCCGACACTTCTTTGTTAAACTCTCCTCCAAAAATCGAAGCTGTTTTCTTCAAGCAGAAATTCGCACAGCTGGGCGACGATGTTGCTCCGCAGACATGCTTCACCATACGATACTCGGTCGGCTCTTCATTCAAATCGCTGTTTTCCCACCAATGGAATCGAAATACGTTGCAATCGTCAGGATCCACGAACACCTGGTAAAAAATGGACTCAATGTCCGCGACTAGAGCAATGGAACCTTCTCGGAAACGTATCAGGACGCCAACCAGAACAATGGCTCACAGTCAACAATATGGTATTAAATACTACTAAAACAAAGAAATTATTGATTGGAACAGTGCAAAAACTTCGTCATTCTGACAAAGATGAATTGGATCTCTACCTGAATGGAACTAAGCTCGGTGAGATCAAAAACGAAAAGCTTTTGGGAATCAAACTTGATAAACACTTAAAATGGAACAAACACATTGAGTATTTGATTAGAAAACTAAACTCTAGAATTGTCTCCTGAAAAGGGCGAAAGAACATCTAACAATTCACTGTAGAAAGTTACTCTACAATGCGATTATAAAACCTATCCTAGAGTATTGCTGTACTCAGGGGCGGATCCAGACTATAGCAACTGTAGCAAATGCTACAGTCAGATTTTCCAGCAAAAATATTTTTAATACTGAATGTCGTGATAGTAAAAATTCTTTATAGAAGTTTTCCAGTTTCTCTATCTTCAAAAAATTAAATTCAGCAGCATTCCGTATGTCAGTTTTGTGAGCTACGAATATAAAATTACGTTTTTCGCGCTCATCTTAACCTGATTTTACCCGAAACAACGCCCGTTTTTAGGCGAAATCACCTAAATTTATTGAACATCATTCAAAAAGCGTTCAAGAAAAGTGGTCTAAATATAGCGATTTATGACGTCAAAATGCTACAGTCAACTGGGGGTCTGACGTCAAAATGCTACAGTCAGCGGGGGGTACAGTTACTAAATTTAGCATTTTGCTACAGTCAGATGAAGCAAACCAATCACAGTGCTGCAATGCGCTACAGTCAGCTACAGTTGCGCAATTTGTTAGCAACTTTAGAGCGATGTTTACTAGTAATATTTGGCTATCATTCATTGTTTAACACAATGGCGTTATTAAAGATTTACACTCCCTACTGGACTTGTTCTGGATCAATTTGTTTGTGCTTTTAATCAGTCAACTAAAGCGCTCATGTGAGGATGTTTATCGTGATCAAAGTAAAGACCGATCGCCTGAAAGACGCGAGGTATTTGTGTGTAATTTTTCTAAATTACAATTTCCAAACGCTGAAGGAGCGCGGTTGTTGAACCACGTAGTAAGCTTATGAATATATTAATATTGTATGCCCTAGATGTAAATATTCATTACCTTGTTTAGAATAAGTAGTTTCATTCATTGAATGTTTTTGCGGATATAAACAGTATATAAATGTAATCTCAAACGCCCCTTGCTAGTGTTGGTACAACACAAAGCTTCGCATTGAGAGGGATTCAACTGAAATATATATATACAAGCAAACCGTACCTGAAAAATACTGAGCAAAACCTCAAAGTTTGGCTTGTATTTTTCGGTCCTTGAATCTCTGTCTGTTAATCCGAAGCTTTCTTTCAGTACAGTGTATATATAAAATGTGTCTGTTTGCCTTATATTTTGATTGTAATTGTGTTATTCTATACATATATGCAGTGTGATATTAAATTACATATTAATGTTATGTGGGGAGGATTGGAGGAAGGCAAGTCTTTGTATACAGTAATTAACCCACTGAGTCACATTGTGCCCTGATGGACCCTACTTTATTATTTTACTCTGATTTTACTCTTCAAGAGGAAGAGCACTGGTTCTTAATTAATGGGTTAGCTGGCCTATCTGCCCATGGTCATGTGTCTAGTTAACCCATTGAGTTGCATTGTGATCTGGTGCGCCCTACTTTATTATTATACTCTGTCTAACGCCAGACAATTTTACTCATCAAGGGGTGAATGTAGATCTACCCTAGAAATATAACTTTAGTTATTAAAGCTTGTTTTCCAACAAGTGAATTTGTTTCCATGAAGTGAGTTATGCGTTTTTCGGCATTGCTTATTAGGTTCTTTCATGAGAACAAATTTGTCTAATGGAAAATGCGCATGAATCCAGTTCTGTGTTCTAGTTTGGTACTGCACGGGGATGACTTTGCTTTTAATATAACACAGTGCTTTGGCCGATCAGTCATGGAGAATAATAATCTATCTATAGCCCATAATCTGTCTAGGCCTATCTATCTTAAGTTTTTGTTGTTACTGTTATCAATACCGACACTGGCACAGACTGTCCCAGAGCATAGTCAAATTGCATCTAAGGGACTAAAAAGCTCACATTCAGTTATGCAAATTTGTTCGAATAGTGAATATATGTTAATGCCATTGTATGTTGAGAATGATATACAAAAAGTGCGAACATAAAGTAGGCTGCAAACCTACATACAAAGGTTGATTTGCATTCATTGTTCGTAGGACTACAGCTAGGTGATGGTAATTGCCTATACAATGCTTGTTCAATTGCATTATGTGGTAGTGAAGAACTTGCTGTCCACTTGCATTGCCTTACCAGCATTGAACTCTTTGTGAATGCTTCATTTTATGCTTCACATCCGCGTTCCTGCCCTTCAAACGCATTTGCAATGTGTTTATCCGACATTGCTTTGTATGCACTTCAGAAAGATGATCCATATACAGCAGTCAAAGGAGAGGCTTTTAACAACTCAATTAATCATCAGTGGAGTTCCTTTTTATGTTTGCTTTTATTATCCAGTGTCTTGAAACTCTTTATTGAGTCCTATTTTCCAACTCTAGTTAACAGCAGTACTTCGAAAGATTCCCTTTCCCTTATGTTTTACTGTTATTACGTGTTTTTCTCAAAAATATTGACCTTCAACTATTCAGTGTACTTTTTTGTGACCATTTGTCTAAAATATGGCCTTAATATTGTCGATTTCAGGTAACTTTTTAACACGCTGTTCCCAAGTTGCGGGAACAAAGTTCCCAACAGCTGCGGCGAGAACTTCTCAACGAAGTTTGCAAGTTCATTTCAAGACAAAGTTCGAACTTTGATTGTAAACAGATGTTCATAGATATAGTTGGAGTTGAAATCACTGTATAAGGCCACCTATGCCATAGATTAAGTAAGTATATACTTCATCTGTGCCTATGCACATATTACTGCAGAGTGCAGTAAAATATTGTCCAGTGGTCTCCCAAGACGAAAAATGCCTTTTAAAATAAATTTCTAAATGAAATTTTTACATTTGTTTACAATCGAAGTTCGAGTTGAACCGCGCTTTGAAAAGTAATATGAAATCGACAATAAGGTCAAATCAGGCCACGAATTTCCCTGAAATCAATCGACGGCAATGGCGTTAAAAATTGCCGTAGAACGTAACTGCTGTCTACGGCAATTTTGGCAGTTCCACGGCATTTTTCAAATTACTGTAATAAAAGTTTAATTTTATTGTGCATGTTACTTTGTAGAAACATGTCTAGGTATTTCTTTAGTTTTTTTTTCGAAGAAAACTGAGAAGAGATAGATAGAAAAGATAGTGATTTACGCATGATTTGATCAACATCTGAATTCAAGTGCCAAAATAGTAACGCACAGTGAATAGTATAAAAATTGCACTATACGGCAAAAAATTGTCGTCGTTGCCGCAATGATTCACGGCATTTTTTTCTCCCTCTACGGCAATTGCCGCGATAAAATTCAACTCCTGGGTCAAATGTTAGAACAGAATTCGATGCTCAGAATGCAGGAAACGGCGTTTCCGGGGTTCAAATTTCAAAAATTTTCCGGGGGGGCATGCCCCCGGACCCCCCTAGATCTCATGGTGCCTCCAAAATCTAGTATTATGCTACAGTCAGATTTTTTGCTGCATCCGCCCCTGTATGGCACTGATCAGAGGTCTGAAAAGGCCTTCCATAGTTCCCCTGAATGGAATCACTAATTATAACATATGCTGACCAAAGCAATATGACTTGCTTGCAAATTGAAACAAATATAATCAGAATTTCAGGGAAGGTAAATCAACAAAGACGATCAGACCACAGTTTATAGAAATGAGACTTAGCTATAAACTGTGATCAGACTCACAAGAGACCTTATTAGTACAGACGTTAGAGAAATGCTAACAATAGTCAATAGGCAGAAAACTTCAAATGTAAACCCAACTTTCTGGTAATACTTTCTAAGAATCTCGTACCGTGTGGATCCCTCTTCAATTGCAATGCATTGCCAACGACAGGCCAAGCCTTGGGACCAGGAACTGCTGACATAATATGACAGAATTCAAAACGCTTCCACGCAATCCAAATACATAGCAGAATTAATATAATCCCAGCAAAAACTATTGTAAGCATGTTTGCTTTCAAATAGGTTTGATCACTGATGAAATATAGATCACTAGCTTTGTGAAGCAATCCGATCGTTTAATTTTAACGATGTTCACTCATCTTACCTATATATATATATATATATATATACACTTGATTCACCTTGGTTGACCTTCACACTTCGAAGTAAATTGTCTCGTATAAAATGTACACATGTCACAAACAATGTGGTAAAACTCAAACATACCAAAGGCAAAGCTGGACGTCACTTGATTCGGCACCTTGGTTGACCTTCAGTACAACACAGTATAAAAAATGGTTATTGTTTACAATATGTTTCCACTTTGCATATTTATAAAATCCAAATAAAATAGGCATTCTCAGATACGATATAAACAAGTTCAAGTTTATATTTGATAGAAAGTACAAAGACGAGCTTTCAAAATTATGTACTCAGACATTGATTATATTAAACGATGCTCTATCTTTATCGGGGTGTATTTCCTATATCTATGGGGTGTATCTATGGGGTGAAAAACGTTACCATTTGTACCCCCCCCCCCCGCCCCCATGGTGCCCCCAGTAAAATACCCCCACACACACACACACACACACACACATTTGTGAATCTTATGTCATGTCTTTTATCTTCAAATAATTCAATATCTTTCTAAAAATGTTAAAGTCGTTAAACATTGGGTTGCAATAGATCGACTTGTGGGCAAGTCTTGAAGTCTACAATGCTCCCAGTGTGAGCATATCCCAGACGCTATATATTTGAGTTGTTGGAAGGCTAGGCTAAACAACTTATTTTGTGGTATTTACATAAACATTCCATGCAAGTACTGAAGAGTGAAAACGCAGTCAATCTACAGTACAGGGTGTATCAAAAAAAGCGCAACCTCGGAATTTCCCAAGAAATCTACTTTGTTTTAAAGACAAAAGATTTTAGGCGCCTGGGAATTTAAAATAGCATAACTGTCAAAATTACTGCACACACGAGTGCATAAAGCAAAATTTATGCATTTATTTAATGCACAACAACAGTAATATGATCTATTAGCAATTCGATTTCATTTCCCAGGGGCCTAAATTCTTTTTATGCTTAAAAGCATAAAAGATTTTAGGCCCCTGGGAATTGAAATCGAATTGCTAATACAGGGTGTCCCAAAAAAAACGAAAACTATTGAAATCACTTATTGTTAAATTTGAATGCCCTACCACACAGCTGGACGTAATGATGCGTAAAATGTTGACAAAGTGCATGTATTAGAATTTAGTTAGGAATATCTCCTGCTAAAGTGCGCAATTTTCTGCTCCTGGGAATTAAAAACAGCTTCTTAAACAGTTTCTTTATGCATAAAATTTACTTATGTCAATCATTTATGCACTCGTGGGAACCAACAGAGCGCTAAGGCATTCAAATTCTAACAATTAAATTGTTATTGGTGATTTCAATAGTTTTGGGACACCCTGTAGATCATATTACTAAAGCATAAAAGATTTTAGGCCCCTGGGAATTGAAATCGAATTGCTAATAGATAATATTACTGATGTTGTGATAAATTTTGCTTTATGCACTCGTGTGTGCAGTAATTTTGACAGTTATGCTATTTTAAATTCCCAGGCGCCTAAAATCTTTTGTCTTTAAAACAAAGTAGATTTCTTGGGAAATTCCGAGGTTGCGCTTTTTTTGATACACCCTGTATAATTAACCGACTGTACAGGGTGTCTCAAGGGGGCCTATTATAGTTTCGCGGTTATGCGGATTTAGCCATATTTTGAGGTCGGATTTCGGTTATATCCAGTTATTTTGTACGGTTTGCGGTTAACTGGAAATCGTGCGGAGACGGAAAATGTCGAAATTAACCCTCCGGATTCGGTTATTGACTAAAATAAATAGCGGTATTCGGATAGCTTTTAACATGCGGTTAAGAAATATTTTACGAGCTCATGGCAATAATTCAGTTCATGGCATTCATCTTCCGATCGCGCGCATGTATTGTTCAACAGGGCCTCGAAATGACGAAATCAAATGAGTAAAGTGGCCGGCCTACTAGTAAAAGCAGGAACACCGGAACACGGAACACCGGAACAGCATCATTCCGGAATACGGAACACCAAAAATTCCGCTTAATTTCAGTAAAAATTCGAGGGGAAAAAATTACCGGGGGTTGTGAAATTGTTGAAGGAACAATTATTCCGTAAAAGTAAAATATTTTTAATATTCTGAGTCTCTGACTTGCCGATTGCTACTAATTACGAACCGAAATCAGTTCCAAAGTAATAAATATTTGCCCGAAAAAACGAAATCAAAGCAACTTGATTGTTTCTCGCACAAAACATAAGCAGCGATGGAAGGAAAACCTTTTTATAGCTATTTGAACTGCTAAGACTTCGTTTTCTTTTGCCAGTTGCCAAATTTTATACTACCAAGTTCGCGTGAAACTTGTGAACGACTTCCTCTTGAATACTCCAACAGAAATGGCGAGTATACGTACTGACTATTGCCTCACATTATGTTGCGGAATATGTTTCGAAATATGTTACCACATATGCCTCGGTTTGAATGCGGTTACGTTTAAAACAGAAATGAGTGGGCGGTTTGCGGTTAAAATTTGAAATACAGCGCGGTTTTCGGAGATGCGTACACCCTATAATAGACCCCCTCTCAAAAAAAACCAAAATCATTGAAATAACGTATTGTTCGAATTTCAATGCCGTAACACAAAGGATTTTGACAGGGTGATTTAAAAATTTAATATTGTTTTAAAAAATTAAAATATCTTTGTAAAGTGAACGTTTGTTTGCTCATGGGAATTTAAAAATGCTTCGTAAATTGTAATATGCGTGATATGCATTCGTGGGTTTAGTACTTTATGCCTGACATAACAAGTTTACGCTGAGTATTACCATTCATTATAGCAGTTATGTCAATCTTTTATACACTCGTGGGATTAACTTAGTGCTAGGGCATTGAATATCGAACAATACGTCAATTTCAATGATTTTGGGTTTTTTTGAGACACCCTGTATATCCAAAAATCTGTTTCAGAAAATGCATTTCCGGAAATGCAGGCCCAGCAAGCTGCTCCATTTACTGTTCGGAGTACTCCAGATTTTCGGAACATTATAATGGAATGGAACAGAAGAGAGTCACATGACTGTTCTGAACTGTTCTGACTACCCCGATTTTCGAGTAGGGGCAGGGGCATAGGCAGCCAGAGCAGACACGTGACACTGCCTATTTTCACGTGATTGGAAATGAGGCGACATATTTTGTGTATCCAATGCACACTGTATAGAGCGTTATTTTGAAGGGTTAACCGCTATATTTCGACATATACTTATCATATGCTATTTGAACGCCACGGTTGGGCAAAATCAACGAGTAAAAACGTTGCAAAAGCATACGTAGACCCAGGCTCTGGGCCTCCTGTGCACAAAGCTTGCAGTCGCCTGAATCACCTTGGTTGACCTTCACGATGAGTGCAAAAGCGCAGAATAGAACGTTTGCACATGACGTCACAGCCGCCATGTTGGTGTTTCAATTCAAAAGAATTTTAATTAGACTCTTCTCTGGAACAGGACACTGGGGAATGAGTGCAAACGCTCTCTAGAAACCTTCTATTTCTATTCTGTGGCAAAAGTATATGGTATACTAGTCACATATATACTAGTCTCGCAAATGATGAAATTGAGGAAATGGTTAACATGCATGGGTAACTTATGTCATGCTAGGTAGAAGCAGGCTATTAGATCGATGCCTCCCCGCTCCTACGCCCATGGTTTTGGGACTGCAAAATTTAAGACTTTGAAGACGGCGCAGAAGTCACAATTAGCCGTCGCAGTACACTACACGGGAGCGAAATTATTTAATTTAAAAACGCGGAGCGCTTCGCAGCTTCGTTTGAACACAAACGGCGTTACATTTTAGTATCGCTTGCAAACCAAGCATCTCACTTCTCAAAACATGCAGTCAATTCGAACGATTTTCATTTAAATTTCTCGACTTGCTCTATTTGAAGTATTTTGGATTTACATGAATGCTAATTTAATTTCTAAAACTGCCAGCATTATTTTGCTCAGCTGCATGTACAAGGTAGTCTGAACGTAATCTAAATTCCGAACCTGGCAGTTCTAGAATATGTAGTCTTTGCCAGAACGTATAGTCGTGCTTCCTTTGAATATTATATAAGATTGATTACGTGCTGGTGTTGGCTATTTTGTGAAGCAATCCGATCGTTTAACATTGATGTATATTTGATCTTGCTTATACATGATTCAAGAACCTTGATTGATCTTAGTTTAAAGTAAAATGTTTAACAATCATGCACACTTGATCTTGCTTATACTTGATTCACCTTTGTTGATCTTCAGAGTTCAAAGTATGTTTAGTACAGTCAATACAAGCAAAGCTGCTGGTCACTTGATTCACCTTGACTGACCTTCAAACAAGCAAAGCCGCTAGTCACTGGATTCACCTTGACTGACCTTCAAACAGGGATTGTTGTAAGCTAGATTTGCTATTAAGGTGGCTCAATACAATTTTTTTGTTTAAAATTGAAAAATTCACGATTCAGGTCCATATTTTTGGACAATTATTTCTTGTTGAAAAATAAAAAATATCTAACTGATATAAAACATCTAAAGAGTTCGACTATAGTATGTCAACGATGACGTTCCAACTTTCAAGATGACAGATATTTGTCTTAAACGACATCGATGACCCCGAATTGTATTTCAAAGTATGATTTCCCTTAGTATAATCAATTGTTTTGACAATTTAAAAAAATTCTGTTAAGCCGAAAACAATTATCATGAAATATCACCTCTAGATAATTTGAAAAATTTCAACAGAAATGTTTTAAAATTGTCAGCGTAATTCAATATACTAAGAGAAACTATTTTATGAAATAAAAATTGGGGGTTACCGATGTCGTTTTCGAGTTAAATTACTTAAAAAGCAAAAAATCCACCATATTGGAACGTCATTGTTTGCAGAGCAACGACAGTTGCGTAACTTTTTAGATGTCGTTTTACATATTCCAAAAATAGGCATCTAAATCGCAAATTTCCCATTTTTAAAAAATTGTATTGAGCCATCTTAAACAAAAGTTTAAACTACATTGTTTATATACCATAACTTTGGTCCAATACCTCTTTTTGTGTGTTTTAATGTTATGATGTTCATCTTTGATCAGTTTTTAGCAATGGTACCACAAACATAAAAAGTATGTTTTTCAAAGTAACTGTTGCCATGGTTACCATTACACCCCATTGATGAAAAATCAACATGTTTGTAAACATGAGATCTCAAGAAGTATGAATTTTAAAAACCTAAAATAACTTTATTTAATACTATACCACATATACTCTTGTACTTCAGGTTACTCTTGGGGATGAGCTAGAACTATGGTGATTGAGGCAAATATTTTTTTTGCGGACAAAACATTGAAATAGATATTATCGGCATGCTTTGCAGATATTTTATGATTCTAGTTCATCCCCAAGAGAATACAATACAGAAGCTACACTGAAAGTTTGAAGTCACTTTTTGAGACATTGCACATGCAATAACGCGGCCATAGGTGGTTTTCGGAAATTTGAAAAAAAGCTGCTTTTTAAAGTTGAACACATTGATTTTCAGAACAATATTCACCTACAATTGATGAAAAAACGTTAAGAATGGATCAGTTTGGTGCTAAAAGAGAGCCCATACTATCATTGACCATCTTGTGACCGCGACATATGGTTATATAACCAAGGGAGCTAATTGGAGTTTATTGGAGGGTTCACGACATATAAATTTATAATTCATTTTTTAAAGCAACATGTTACATGGAAAACGTGGAGAATATTAAGAATAAAGCAGCTTTACAATATTACATATAAAATTACATTTGTACGTCATCAAGTTAAACAATGCTCATCTCAAGCATAAGCACTGGTTGGTTTACATATTTCCTCCTCGTCCAAAGCTTCTTCAAATGTCCATAAATCACGATGACGTCGTAATACAGTAATTGCCGCTGTATCTACAGCTGTGGGCTCAACTCCAAGATCTTCAAGTCTTGGCAAACCTTGAGTAAGTTCATCTGTATTGAATTGCTGTATGAAGAACAATGATATTTTAAGCAATACAAAATAAAAATTATTCGTTATATAATAGGAAAGAAAATCGGTTCTGCCCTATACCAAATTATCCTAAAAGTCCTTTATAACAGATTATACAAAAATCATTATTATAACTAAACGTGATTGGCTGATTTGTGGTAAACCCGGATTTAGATAAATGCAATGATTCCGCCGGGCAACAAGTGAAAAATTGTTGCACGCCCTGACCGGCTAGGTACATAATTACTCAATAAGGAGTAAAAAATTCAGAAAGAAAATTTTTCCATTTTAAAAAAATAATACAGTACTTAACAGGGGAGAACAATATTCAACAGGTAGTAGGAAATGCTGTTAAAACACTTTTAGCCGGTTCTTTTACTGTTAAAATAATTTACATTAAAGAATTTAATTGATGAAGCATAATTGTTTATTTTTTCTTCGTCTCTTTATAACAAAACATTGAATGTCTGTTCCCTCGGGAAATAGTTTGCTTTGTTTTCCCTCGAATCTTAATGTTGAAACTCTTGGGAAAACAAAACAAAACAAAACATTTCCTTTAGCGGGAGACATTAAGTGCACATTATATCTCTTGTACCTATTATCCTATACCAAAACAATGCTCAACCTGATATTCTAAACGAAACGGGAGTGCATTATTCCACACTCTATATGACGTGTTAGTTTTAAGTTGTCTTCCGCGGATATCCTTCATGAGCTCATTTCCAGGTCAACTGGAAGCGCTCTTTAATTATATAGCATTTGTAAATTCTGAACATTGATTGGCTAAGAGCTGTATTGACATAACTCAATGTCAAAACAGAAAATTTCTTCCTTCATATTTCTTTCTTTATATCTTTTGTGCTATCTCTTTCTCATTCTCATTCTTTGAAAAACATGACAACGTTTATGGATTTTAACATTTACAAACGCATGATTTTAAATTTCGGTAAACAATTTTTGAAAAAGATAAAACAATAACGTCAGATATTAAAATATATAAAAAGTCGACAACAGAACAGTCCAAATTCACTTTAGTTCATTTAAGCGACTGACTCATAAAAATATCTTATAGATGCATGTAAACAGCGGTTCAACACAAAGTAGAGTAGAGTAGAATAGTAAGATATGATATCATTGAAACTTACCAAAGTCACACATAAAATTCAGATTTCTCTTCGCTAGCGATCCATCTCAAGGCCTAATTCCACGACAAGCGAAATGCAAAAAAATTCACGCGAAAACACACTTGTGGGCGAAAATTTTCTCTCGTCAGTGTTTTCCACAGTACAAGCATTTGATTTCCATTTCGCAACGGAGTAGAAACGAATTCAACTACCCGGCGAAGAGAAACATTTCGCAGAGAACCACTCAAAAATCATGTTGCGCATGCGTTCAGCCTTTCGCGCGAAATTTTTCGCATTTCGCTCGTCGTGGAATTAGGCCTTTAGCGCTCCTCACTATACGAGGTCAGTCAGCGGTCCCTACTGCCGCTTACCGACCTCTGTAGAACCAATCAAAATTAAGCATTTTGCAGATGGACCGCCTTGCCATATAATAAACTACTGTTGTACCACAATGAAATCTTATCAATGAAAAATATACTGATTTTGTCCATATATAGTATACATACCCTAAACAACATATCCCGTGTTAGACGAGGGTCAAAAATACTTTGTTCCGCTGCCCAGGCTACGGCACTAAAATTATATAGTGATTGTACATGATAAACGTCGAAGAAGAGTGGGAAAGAGGGGAGAATGATATTACCTAATTGTAATTTTGTGCTATGCACATATGTAATTCAGTCTATGACTGCAAAATGTGGTATTCCATAAACCATTTACCATCTATTGAGGGGGCAACATAGCTTTCCTAGATTTTAACCAATTAAGTAATTGCATCGCGTCCTAATACGCCCTACTTTATTATTTTACTCTGTCTAATGCCAGACGATTTTACTCGTCAAAGGCATAGCGCTGGCATCAATGAGTTAATATATACCTGTCACGTTTTAGGAAGAGTCACTATTTTTAGACTTCTTTAATTTTGAATTCTTTTGTATCTTAAACTTAACCCTAATCCTAACCCTAACCCTAACCTCTAATCTTAATCCTAACCCTATACCCTTCTAAGCGTAAAAGTTTAAAAAAAGTAACTGTTCCTAAATCGTGATTCATATGGGTTAATATGTATGAGATCTGAACTTTCCCCCCAAAATATAAAACACTATAACGTTTTGAACGAAGTCGCTCGGTCAGGAGTACAGCCTTTAAATTTCCTTGTACACAGTACAGAGAGTATATAAATATAATGAAACGACTTACTTATACAAAGGCCGAGGTAGAGTATAATGTCTGAACTTTCGACGGTTCATGCGGTAGATATAATCCAGTAAATCATAAAGATAATATTCCTTTGGCCTATAAAGAAAAAATATTCCAAATGTTATTATTCCAGGTTGATTTGCATGGACTGTGCCGCAATTAGAATCTCCCTTCAGGTTATTAAACCCATTATTCTTGATCTACATGGGGCCGGTTGTTGAAAGCTGGGTTAGCTTACCCTTGGTTAACTTAAAATTCAAAGCAAACTTCCCAAGAGCTTGTTTATAAATTTGGAAATATTTCTTCAGAGATCTTGTCTGAATCAGTAGGAGTTTTCTTCTCTGAAGTTTTGAAATAAACATGCAGAAATACATAAACTAAAACAGCAAATTAAATTTTAACCGAGAGTTAGCGTTAATCCAGCTTTGAACAACCGGCCTCTGTAAGACAAAGCTCATTCACATGGCGGAAAACAATGAAGTTTCCGTCCTCCAACGCATGTTCGTAAGCAATCTCGTTTTTCTTATATAGGGTTCGTATACAGCTTCGTCCGTTTGAATTTCCAAAACGTTATATTTTCTGTGTTGGTGTAATGTACTCAGGTGAATAAGATGCTTGTGATGTTACTCTGAGTGTATATCCACACCGGGCAAGCTTGAAAAATATGCCTGGCCACGGTGGGAATCGAACCTACGACCTTTGGAATACTAGCCCAATGCTCTGCCAACTGAGCTACGCGGTCAGGTCGGTTCGAGTACGTGATATTTCGGAACTGAGTCTAGTTCCTTCGATATCAATGTAATCTATCATGTTTTACAGTAGCTCAGTTGGCAGAGCATTGGGCTAGTACTCCAAAGGTCGTAGGTTAGATTCCCACCGTCGCCAGGCATATTTTAATTTCAAGCCTGTCCGGTGTGGATATACACTCAGAGTAACATCACAAGCATCTTCGAAAACGTTTCCAAAAAGTTCCATTGCTCTTACAAAAAAAGTTCAAAAACAAACTTCTTAAAAAGTAATACTATAAGTACAACAGAAAATATACTTTTGATTTTCAAGCGTGAGGATCCAAGTGGGCGTTTAAATATTAGAATGAGCATAAGCTTTCGCTATAAAACGCGAATAAAACTCATAGAAACATAAAAATCTAATAAAACCGTTTTCTAGATTTTTTCAATGGCTTTTATTTGTGTGCAAAATTCCAAGACTTTCAATAGCCCCTACACAGTGACAATAGATTTTCCAAAACTCCCCCGGCCTTGAAAAACACCTCAACCCGTACGAAGTGAACCGCCGTTTATAGTCAAATAGTTTCTTCAAGAGTTTTCGTTTTTCAAATGAAATCACTTTTCTCATTGGGAAAGAAGACATTTCATGTTAAACATCACTCACCCAAAAACCTCATATGTACTCCCCAGTTTCCCATCATATATTGCATTCACTGCTGCCTTCGCGACGTCTACAACCTAAAACAAACAATAATGATTGACCGATAATCGGTATCGGCCGATTTTTGTCTTTAATATCGGTAGACAATCGGAATCGGTAGAATTAACTAAGTTTATTTCCGATTGTCTAAAACCGATTGTTGAGAAAATACGTACTTTAAGAATTATATGCATTGCACGTTGAGGCACGTTGGTTGCGTTTTAACACAATATATTAAATTAATGCGTGAAGCGTGCCATTTATGAACGTTTTTTTACGATCTTTGGTTGCAGTAACATGTTACGTTAGAAATTAACGTTAAAAAATCGTCATGAATGACGTCACCTTTACTTGGTCGGCTGATTTTATGACGTCATTATAAAATCGGCATCGGGGTAGATTGTGACATGAATAATCGGTAATTTCCGATTGCTGCACAATCGGTCAATCACTAGCAAACAACGAACTGGTCTATAGATTTTACTGCAAGTTTAAAAGGGAACATAAAAGTCGTTAACTATAAAGGGAAATGTGAATTGCCCAAATAATAATTGAAACCAAATTGGATATTGGGTGTTTTCCGATTGGTATCTACAGTAGGAAACTTTTCAACTACATATTGGTTGTAGAGAAAATTGACTGGGAGGCGAAATATAGCATGCGCAGCTGTCAGTTTTACCAGGTTGGGTGTTGAGCATAAAGAAAAATAGAAAATTAAATTAAGAGTATATTTTGAAAATACTATGCAAGTGGAAATACAAAGCGGAATAAAACGTCAAGAACTGGTAGTTTTATAACCTGGAAGTACAGTTATGTAATGTGCTGTAAATAACAGAAGGTCTTAGTAACACAGTTGATAGAACTCATAGTTTGGCGACTCCACAAAGTACAATATAATTTATTATCTATATTATTGTCCAGTTTTATGCAAGAATGTTATTTTATCGCACCACGAGTGTATTGTATTCTCACCCAAACTACCAATAGCAATGTTTAGGCTTAATTATCCAGTCGTGACTTCAACAATAGTTAGTTTAAGGTAATTCCGGAATTTTGCATTGCGCACTTTTACTGCGCACATCTTATAACTTATAATTTCATCCATTATACGTACCGTTTAAAAAATATCATTTTATGACAATTTTATGTTACTTCAAAACATCTTTTGTTACATTCGTGCATAGAATTACGTAACTTACTGAATCAATGTTTTCAAAAAAGGCATACAAAAGTGTAGCTAGGGTTCCCTGTGTCTGTAGTATATTTATTCACTTGTATTTCACGTTTTAATGCCACAATTGAATTCCCGAAAAAGAGCGGTGACCCCCGTTTTTTAACTGATAATTTATTTCTTTAATGCATTTTACATTTCATATCCGAAATTAAAAGAAAAATCATTTCTGGTCTTGAAAAAAAATGCTTTATCAATGCATGTTCTCAAAGAAATATATGTAAAGAAATGTGGAAAAGACGTTTGTGGATCAGAATTGTACACGTTAGTAGTTTCATTTTGCTCAAAACACATTTTTTCAAAAATAATTACAAGATAGGTTTACTAACGCAACATCCGCGCTAAAAACGTCAATAAATATCGGGCTGTTGTAAGTTTGCTGTTACTCGTAATGAGCGTCAAAATGGCGCCATATTGGGGTAAAGGTGGTATATTGTCACTGTCATATCTTCTTAACGAGTTCGGTGACGCCGACTTTTTTTGTGATTTTACTTTAAGTATATCATAAACTCCATGCCTGCGAAGTTTCAGCAATCAGCACATTCTCATTTCGGGAACAATTACTGCGGAATTACCTTAAAGGAGCAGTGTCACCGTTTGCGCAACTTTTCTGCGCATAGTGAAATTTGATATCGTTGGGCCAACGTTTTCAAACTATTTCACTATCATATTTCACTATTCAAGATGGCGTCCTTGCAGGGAGCTGTGCGAGGAGGTCATCGTGAAAATGCAGGACGAAAAAGGAAATATGAAGGCGAAAATCGAAGAAAATCGTGGGGAGGTCAACACAAGAGGATCTATTTATTGAATAACATTTTTGAAGCGTGGAAAAGCTCAAAAAGCGAGGCGGGATACGACAAATGTAGTCATAGCGACTTCGCCGCGCATCTGTTATCTTTAGAGTATAGAAGAAGGTACGGATAATGAAATTTGTATGTTTAAGTTTGATTCAATTTGTAAGACGTAATGAAATGTGTGCTGTTTAACTATTTTAGGTCGGAAATAAAGCATTCACAGCGACGAACGCAAAGTGAAGCAACCACCGAATGTGCTACAGAAATAACAGAACAAGCCATTCAAAATATTTATCAAGGTAATCCCTATGCGTCCACAAACATAAATAGCCCAAAATGATATACTATTACAGTAAACAAGCAATAGAATGCTATATCAATGTTGATGAATTGTCAAATGGGTAGTTCAATGAATGGATGTAATGCATTGAACATGGCCGATTACAATGGATTACAATTTCTTTAAGGCCAAGAAACATCCACGCCGTTAAAAACTGGAGAAAGCCTACAGCTTCCTTCTCCATCTGAATCCCCTGTTATTGGAGATGAAGTCGAGGATAATACCATTGCAACAATTGATGCGAATACAAGCTTTGCTCGGTCTGATGCAACCCTTCTTGACAGGTACTGATTGTAAAGTAATATTTGTAGTTTATTATGGAATTGTGAATGTGCGTAGCAACAATATATTTGTTGTATCTCAAATTATTTGTATCTAGTTCTACTATAACCAATGCAATAAATGTGTCCATGTTCACGGATGACGAGGATGATGTCAGTGATGGCAGTCTGGAAGATGCTGCCAGTTATATCAGGTAAAATATGTCAGGTCATAAATACTTTTACAAGAATGGAACTAATTGAGTCATAAACATCATTGTCCCTTACAGCATACATGATCTTACCAAATCAGCTCTCGAAGATTTGAATGCAGAGAAGCAAAGTTATTCAGAGTATGTTATCTGTTTGAAGCGATGTGGGAGTATGTGTGGGATGTGTTATTTTGACTCTGGGCAGTGGAAGATTAGTCTGTTGTTGCTACTGTGCCTGAGAACAAAAAAGATTTCATGCTGCCTCTCTAGAAATTTTGACCACTCAGGGAAGTTATCTGACATCAAATTTCACACAAACCATGTCAAAAACCCTATAGATAAACTACAAACCTGGCAAAAATTTATAAATTAATGAATGGTTAATTAAAGGTCCAATCCTGATTCTAGTTATATTGAAGCCTAATAAACAGAAGCAAACTGAAAAGGGATCTTTATTCTTTATTTGTAATATACTATCTATTATTTATACAGCACTATATTTTGTTATTTTTAGCTCCATAAGTTCAAGTAGTGATGAGGACTCTGATTCATCTGATCTTGATTTGGGTCATGAGCCATCTGATGAACATCA